TTTTTTTTTTTTTGTTTTTACCGAAAAGGCTATTGTGATTCAGATTCAAAATTAATATGTATCTCGCCTAATATATAAAAAAAATCTTATTATTATTATTATTATTACTATTTTTATTTTGTAAAAGCTTTACAAAATTTTAAATTTAATGAATATACAATATTAAATTATTTTACAGTCAATATTCCTATTTTGTATTATAGTTATGCAATAAAAAAATTGATTTATATAAAAGTTTTTATATTTATATTCTACATTAACATATAATCAAAATTTTAAAATATATTACACGCTTTATTCAATTTAAAATATTAAATATCACATACGTACATATAATATATATATATATATATATATATATATATATTTTCCGTGCCTAATGTTATTGTAAGAAACTAGGGGAAAACGAGTGTTGTCCCACTAAGATGAAGCGCACTAAAAGCGGGGAAAACCCATATGAAGCCCAAGTGGAGTTCCATCCCAAAACTAATTGGTAGAAGGAGAAGTAGCCCATTAGACTTATAAGGTGGGTCTATTTTCCATGTATGAACGATGTGGGACAACTCACAAGTGATATTCTAACACGCCCCCTCACTTGTGAGTCATTTGGAAGCCCAAGCCCAACTGAGTGCCCCAAGCCTACTAGAAGTAGACTCCCATAAACGGGTACGTGGGGAAGCAGACTCCCATAAACGGATATGAGAAGCCCAAGCCCAACTGGGTGCCCCAAGCCTACTAGAAGTAGACTCCTATAAACGGGTACGTGGAGATGCAGACTCCCATAAACGGATGCGAGAAGCCTAAGCCCAACTGGGTGCCCCAAGCCTACTAGAAGTAGACTCCCATAAACGGATGCGAGAAGCCCAAGTCCAACTGGGTGCCCCAAGCCTACTAGAAGTAGACTCCCATAAACGGGTACATGGGGAAGCAGACTCCCATAAATGGGTACGTCATCGCACGGTCCTAATGGAACCGACTCTGATACCATGTAAGAAACTGGGGGAAAACACCATGTAAGAAACTGGGAGAAACTGGGAAAAAACGGGTGCGGTCCCACTAACATGAAGTGCACCAAAAGCGGGAGAAAACCCATATGAAGCCCAAGTGGGGTTCCATCCCAAAACGTGGAAAGAGGAGTAGCCCATTAGACTTATAAGGTGAGTCTATTTTCTATGTATGAACGATATGAGACAACTCACAACCGATATTCTTATAAAACATGCATCATAATAAATTAATGAATAAATTTTATTAACATTTTATTTTTTATTCCGTAGAGATTGTAGCATTTTTCTTTTCTCCATTTACAATAAATATTGCGTCATCTTAGCCGAAAGATATTTTATCCACGGATCGGTACAATTGGACATCTAAACCACAAAGATAAAAAGATCTCCTGAAAAAGAAAAATCCACAAACAGCTCCCCCTTCAAATCTCAGTCGCCATAACAACACCATACCATACTACAAGCTCCCAAATCGAGCTCGTTAAACAAAGTATACCATTCCCAATAGTTGCATCGTTAAACCAAACTACAAGCTCCGAAACATTGCACTGGTTTTTCATGGAGAAAACTCTTCTCTACAGGTGACTGCACAATGGCGTCCATCCCAATAGCTTGGAATAATGTGTCTCCCATTGCTCAACAAAGGCTGAAGGTGAATGTTCTTGCTGTAAATTACAGTGTTTCTAGAAAACAAGAAACCCTCTTTTGTAAACTACCCAAGAATGGCTCGTGCTCTGTTTCTAGTTCTGTGCTGTTCAGTTATGGTACTCGTAAAGCTCCGATTAGGTTTTTATGTTCCTCTGCTGACGAGAAGATTGATAAGAAAAAAACAATCGAACCACCTCAGAGGAAGTTTTCTCTGCAGCTGCGGCGTAGGATACGGTCACTATCTCAAAGATTCAAATGGGTTTCAATTGAATCGCTGCTAGACCGCATTGGATCATTTCACAGCAGAAATGCCAAGAAAATCACGGTTTCTGTTGGGGTATCGATTGTCTTGGGCCTTTTTTTCTGGTTCCTCAGAGTGACTTCAATGCCCGTCCCAAAAGGTGTGCCCTACACGCACCTGATTGAAAATCTTCAGAACAAGAGTGTCGCCTGTGTTATGTTTGAGGAAGGCACGAGTCAGATATACTACTGCACCAAATCTTGGGTCCGAGAAAAAGCCCTAGCCGAGGATGACAAATCGGGCCTTGATGGTGAGAAAGATGTTGTTGTTGGGGAAGATTACATGCTTCAGAAGTTGGTTAATTCTAAAAATCAGAGAATCGGTTGGGAATATTCGACGAGAAAGATAGATCACGATGTCGGTTATCTTCTCGGTTTGGCGAGGGAAACGGGTGCTCTGTATGGCTTGGTACGTCGATCGGTTTTGAAGTCGATGAGGGATGTGCTCGTCACAACACTCATGTTGTGGGTCCCATTGAGCCCTCTAATGTGGATTATGTACCGGCAGTTTGCTCCGGGTAATGGTCTGGCTAAGAAGAGAAAGAGTAGCAACAGATTAGTTAGCTTTGAGGATGTCGAGGGTGTGGATAGTGCAAAGGTGGAGTTGATGGAGGTAAATTATCATTTCGGTTTAGTAATATTTTATTTTCTGAGAATCCCATGAAATAGGAATGTGGAAGATAGGTTCAATTTTAGTTACTTGTTGTAGATTCTTTACGTTTGGACCCTTTTTCTTGGTGCTTGGAACATATAATATGAAACTCTAGCAAGTAGAAGCCGAAAAAGCCGTCTTGTTTTAAATAATTAAAATGGGTTCTCATAAATGAGTAGGTTAGAAAGTATGTATGTATAAGGACAGGTAGATTAATAATATGTCGAGTTCAGATAACAAAATACTTCATGGGGCACAGTAAGCCTTGCTTCTAAAAATGAAGTAATGTTAACATGAGGGGTGTGCTCTTAAGCAAAAACATGGATGATCAAAATGGTTTTTTCTCTTAACATCATTCATGTGAAACCAACTCTAAATGGAGTAACTTGTCGATTTGAAGGAGTGATTGCGGATACTAAATTAATGTAGTTTCCCCCTAGAAGCTCAGATTTGTGGTGTATGTGAATACTCACTATGTATGAAGGAGTTCTAACCTTACGGAATATGCATTGATGGATAATAGCTTGTTTGCTTAATATAGATCTTCTGAATCTTTTCACACACCACTCATGCTGTTTCTTTTTTATTTTTTTTCCTTTTCACTTACTTAATAGGTCGTCAATTGCCTCCACGGTGCAATTAATTACAGTAAGCTTGGGGCAAAGCTACCGAGAGGTGTGTTGCTTGTTGGTCCTCCCGGGACAGGAAAGACTTTGCTGGCACGTGCTGTGGCTGGGGAGGCCGGGGTACCCTTTTTCCCTGTTTCCGCTAGTGAATTTGTTGAGCTGTTTGTGGGACGTGGGGCCGCTCGCATAAGGGACCTTTTCAATGTTGCGAGGAAGAATGCGCCCTCCATTGTTTTCATAGACGAGCTTGATGCGGTTGGTGGAAAGCGTGGAAGGAGTTTTAATGATGAACGAGACCAAACTTTAAACCAGGTATTCTCTCGACTTTTATATTTGTTGAGATTTGTATTGTATCTGCCTGCATTTTATTTTCTGTGGTGCCTTGTTTTTACTAATTCTTTCAACAATATGCATGGCTATATAGAATGTTGGTGGCTTAGGTAGTGTGTTCTTGACCGCTAGTGTAGAAAATTAAAAAGTCCCTGAACTGTGAGGATATTTTGTACTTAAGTGTACTAAACGCTCTTTTCTTATACACCCCGAACCGTTTTGTTTTATTTCACTTTGTTCACTTGAAAGATCAAATTCCAGCATGTGCCTAGTATTCATGACAAGTTTGATCACTTTATGCATAATTAGTGTGAGATGGCTTGGGGAGTGAAGTGAAAAACGAAAAGACCAACAGTTCAGGGATTAAAGCTAAATAAAAGGATTAGTTGTTCGAAGTGCAATCGAACAATCAAGTAAAAGGAAACTGAAATACGATGGCAGACTCTGATAAGAATGCAAGCTCTTTAGGTGATAGAACAACTCAGAGGGGAATTACAGAAAGGAAAATCATAAATCTCATGTTTCCAATCTTCACCAAAAAATTGAACCGGAATATATTGCCTATGGCAAAAGCAAGATAGTCAAAACCGCAAACTGCACCATTAGAAACTGTTGTGGTTGACTTTTTTTCTCTCAAATAATTTTTTTTTCCTTCATGTAATAAATGAGGTTCGAATGATTTGATATAATTTTTTCTAGCATCATGAATCACTTGTGAAATTCGTCATCTTTCCAGTTGCTGACAGAAATGGATGGTTTCGAGTCCGACATAAACGTGGTTGTTATAGCCGCAACAAATAGACCAGAGGCTTTGGACCCGGCCCTGTGCCGGCCGGGCCGTTTCTCAAGAAAAGTGTATGTGGGTGAACCTGATGAAGATGGTAGGAAAAGGATTTTGGGCATACATTTGAGAGGAGTTCCTTTGGAGGAGGACACGGGCCTTATTTGCAGCTTGGTTGCATCTCTTACCCAAGGCCTCGTTGGAGCTGATCTTGCAAACATCGTTAATGAGGCTGTCCTGCTTGCCGCGCGAAGAGGTTAGATTATTTTTTTTTACAGTTTGGACTCTTTCACATTCGTTGTACTCTTTTCTATCAACTCCCAAAGGCTTTTCAAAAAAATTGGTCGTAGTTTGCACTCTTTGTTACTCGTATCTTACTGGGAAAATTACGAGAATGCCCTTGAGGTTGTTGTGTATTACACCTTATTGAGAGGCTTCTTAGTGAAGTAAATGCATAACTCGTGGGGTTGCACCGTATACTCAAAAGGGTATTTTTCATAATCAATACACAAGATAGGTGCAAATTCACGGGGCATAGTTGTAATTTTCCATCAATGTCGATATATGAACAGTAGAACTCCAGTGAAGTTCACCAATGTGTATCAACCGTGATTTTTTCTTTTCTTTTTTTTAGCGAAACGCGTGAGACAGTTCTATTACTAACTTTTCACGGTTGGAATTTATTTGCAGGCGCTGAAATCGTGTCGAGAGAGGACTTCATGGAGGCTGTAGAGAGAGCAAAGTTTGGGATAAACGAAAGGCAAACGGCACTAGGCAAGAAGCTCGGAAAATTATTTCCTTGGATGATGCCTTCCCTAAATGGTGGGACGCAAAGCCCTCCGGGCTATCAGACATTAAGCTGATCTCGGAAAATTATTTCCTTGGAGCTCGTCGTTAAATTTTGTGGGCCATATAATACACGTGTTGTTGTCAAATCAGCAGTAGAGCTCGCTCCGTAATAATGGAGCCATATGATCCACATGGTTTTTTGAAGGCATGCTTTTAGATTCTGTTTGGTTGAATTCAATTCATCAAATGCAGCATGTGCAATGTAGGTCAAAGGATAAATGGCCAAATGTTAGGCATTGCATTAAAGGTGTCCCAAATTGGAGTAGGATAAAGAGATGGTCTTGTTGTGTCCTTTTGCCTCTTCATCTGTTTTAGGGAGTTTCATATGAGCTGTCGGATCGCACACATTTATACGTCCGACTAAGTGTGTGTTGATCAAACAGTTCAAATCTCTGCCCACGCCGTTTATTTTGTTGTTTTGTTTTGCATTTTCACGAGTTTTAGGGAGAATTTAATCATATCTATATTAGAACAGTCAAATCACACACGTACACCCATATGTGGTATGGTATGTATTGATTCAACGGTTTCGACTACTAATTACAAAAGTAGGGTAAAAATTTATTAACTAATTACCCTCCGTTTTGGGTGGGGTAAAAAATTTCCCGGGTTTATATTTCATCATGAGACTAAATCAATCAATTAATTAATTCATTATTATATTGTATCATACATTTTTTTCCCCCTATTAAGACTATATTTAACGGTGACCCAACCTAAGAGTCACCAACAAAAGACAAAAGAAAAAAAAA